GTGTCCACTCACTGTCCACTCAGAGACGAAAGCTCATCTGCTGCTGCACAGTTTGTGTTGGTCATCCTCTAGTCCTTCATCAGTGGTCACAGGACGCTGCCCACAGGACGCTGTTGGCTGGATATTTTTGGTTGGTGGACTATTCTCAGTCCAGCAGTGACACTGAGGTGTTTAAAAACTCCAGCAGCACTGCTGTGTCTGATCCATTCACAGGTGCAGTGCTGAGAACTCTGTTCACCCCCCACACATTTATATTACACATGTGGTGTTGGGTGAGTAAAAGTGTGGAGGTGCTGTGTCCTTCACTCTGTTCTCCTCCTACATGGCCTGCTGTTAGTGTATGTGTGTGTGTTTGTATATGTGTGTGTGTGTGTGTGTGAGGGTGGACAACATGGACAGGCTGCTGACTGGCTACAGCTGCTAAAGAGAACCCTACACTGGACACTTGTGATATTTTAAACATCTGGTATTTTTACATAAATTGTTATGACTGTATTGATTTAAAAAACAATAAAACAATAAAAGACCACTGAGTAACAAACACATCAACACCACACATAAAAACACAAATACACAGCTCTAGTGTGCCCCCTATCATGATCTCCCTTGCCCCCCAAAAGAGAAAAGAATCCCTCTTTAAACACTAAATAAATCAGTAAATGATTCAGAGGAAACGAATCACTTCAGTATTTGTTTCTGACTGTATCTGAACTGCTGTAACTGTAACTGCATGTTTCTGTTCTTGCTGTCAAACTGTGGCGTTCCATTACGCAGCGAACGTCTCAGGCAGGTACGCAGCTGCGATGAAGAGAGGGGGCGCGGTGATGAAGAGCGAGGCGAGACTGATGGGTTAGAGGAAGTGAGATGTCAGGTGTTAAAGAAGCACAAGGTGCACAGACGCAAAGAGGTGTAACATGAGGATGACAAAAGGCAGGGAGTGTAAACAAACGCTGAACGACACCAAGAACAGAGGAGAGGAGAGAAACGTGCAGATTCACATCAAGAACAAATACGTACTGCGAATACTAAAGAATTACAGTCAGAGGGAGAAACATCGACTAATAAAAACAGACAGACAGACAGACAGACAGACTGATATGCAGACAGGAAGATGGAATGCAGACTGACAGACTGACTACTGTGCAAAAGTCAGAGACCACCTTCATTTAATTCCCAGTCAAAACAGCCATTAAGAACAAGTCATTCATTTCTCAGAGTCAGAAAACGAGCAGAAAACTTAATTTATAAAATTTAGATTTTATTATATTATATACTTTTTACTGAATATTACACCAAAGCCTCAACAGCTAAATGTAATATGCATAGTCTTTGGTATTAAGTGTCCGCCCTTTGTCTTTATTACAGTTCCCATTCTCTTCAGGAGACCTGCTTTCAGAAGAATTTTACAGAACATCAGTACTGTTTTTGTTTGATCTGCAAATTTTCTTATATTTTGTTTGTTTCTTTTCTCAGAAGCAGCTTCTGTACAGCTACACATTGTTTCAGACTCAGAGTTGAGTCGCCTTCTCACAGTGGAAGGATGGACAGAAGCACTTCTGGATGTTTTGAGATTTGAAGTAAGAGAAGAGCTGATTTTCTCTCACAGATCAAAGCCTCAAGTCCTGCTCGGGTGTTAAGAGTCTAATGTTCTATATTTTTTGAACTACAATTTTACAGTAAGTGTCTTTTTTTACCCATTTTCCTTTGACCTTCTGCTTACTTGCAAGTGGATTGACCTTCATGAAATCTCCTTGAAAAGATCTCCTGATAAATGAATAAACTGTTAATTAAATTAGCGTGGTCTCCGGCTTCTTCACAGTACTGCAGGTCTAGATAAATACAAAACAGTAAACACAGAAGAAAGCAAGAAAGGACAGCAAAAGAAAAAAGAAGTACAATTAGAAAAAAAGAAAAAGAAAGAAAAAGAAAGGCAATACATCAAGAAAGAAAGAAAGCAAAAGAAAGAAGGAAAGAGAAAGAAGTACATTATGAAAAAAGAAAGGAAATACATCAAGAAAGAAAGAAAGAGAAAGAAAGAAGGAAAGAGAAAGAAGTACATTATGAAAAAAGAAAGGAAATACATCAAGAAAGAAAGAAAGAAAGAGAAAGAAATGCATTGAGAGAAAGAAAGAAAGGCTATACATCAAGAAAGAAAAAGAAAGAAAAAAGAAAGAAGTGCAGAAAAAGAAAGAAAAAGTAAAAAAAAGGAAGGAAGAGAAAAAAAGTGAATTTAGAGAGAGAAAGAAAGAAATAAGGAAAGAAATAAGGAAAGAAAGAAGTGCAGAGAAAGAAAGAAAGAAAAAAAAGGAAAAGAAAAGAAAGAAAGAAAAGCAAAATAAAAAAGAAGGAAAGAGAAAGAAGTACATTGAGAAAAAGAAAGAAATAAGGAAAGAAAGAAAGAAAGAAAAGCAAATACACTGAGAACGAAAAATAAACTGATAGAGAAAGAGAAAGAAAAATGGAGTGAAAGAAAGAGAGAGAGAGAGAGAGAGAGAGAGAGAGAGAGAGAGAGAGAGAGAGAGAGAGAGAGAGAGAGAGAGAGAGAGAAAAAAGAGAGAAGGAGAGAGAGAGAGAGAGCGCGGAGTGTGTGAATGTTAGAGAGGCAGAGCTGCATGGCTGGACAGTGTGTCCGTTAGTGTGCTGCTGATAATGAAAGGCATTAGCCTCCTGGCCCTCTAGCAGAACCGCTACTGAACCCCCCCAACACCCCCCCACTGCACACACCCCCCATACCCCCCACCCTACATCCCTCCAGACCCCGTCTCCTCCACTCCACTAACCACCCTCACACGCACATCCCAACACCCAGACAGATCCCGGCGGCCTGAGAGAGAGAACAGGAGCAGGAGGCACATCAACACTGACCAACAAGCTCTGCAGCTGACAGTGAGTCCACACTGCAGACGCTGGAGCAGCACTCAGAGCTCCGGGTGACCAGCAGCAGGACTCCGTAATGAGTGACGCTGGAGGGCTGGAGTTGGAGTTTGTCTTCTCTTTCCTATAAACTCTCACAGCTGCGCACAGACAGTGAGTCCCCACTGCAGAGAATTACACAAGTCGATCGGTGACTCTGCTGTAGTGTGAAAATACCTCGGCCCTGTATGAAAGTGCGAGTCCATAAAATCCTCGTGTAAAACTAACCCTGCTGGAACGCTCGAGTCACAGAATTTACACCTATATTATTTTAATCACTCTCCAGGCAGCTGTAACATCACACCATGCTGAAGCACGTAAACAACTCACACTGAGAGCCAGCCAGGCTGAAGTTCAGCCTCCACACAGCGGGGCTGTTACTAAACTTATTCAGAGTCACTAAAATACATAATGAGAAAAATCCACATATATACACACATAAATCCAAAAAACTCATTTTCAGCAAAAAAATTCAAAACAGACGTCATCTAAATCAACTCTCTCATCATGCTGGTAGTTGCTGCTCTACTTTACGGTCAAATATAAGTGACAGAATGTGTTTTATGATCATAGACATATCGCTATATGCTTACAATTTACTGCTGGAAGCCAAAAATCTTAGTTTCGTTATGAAAAGTGCTCTAAAATTAAAGATGCTGTTATTAACTGTACTGAATTAATTGTGCTTTAATCATTTCGGATTGTTCATGATTGATGTGTGGACAAATATGTTTCTCAAATATATTTAAAGTTATTCAGCAAAAACCAAAATGCATTAGGTCGTGCTGTACTCACTGGCTTGGTTTGGGCCACAGAGAACGCAAGTAAATGCTTCCTCGAGTGCCTCCATACTTAAGGAAAACTCCTTCATCACAGCCCAGGACAACATGTCAATGCTGTGATAAAGTTTGCACAGGACCTGTTGACCCTTATTAGTCCCACAACGGGGAAACCTCACCTCCTCATTTTAACCCATCTGTGCAGTAAAACACCAAATACACACTAGTGAACACACACACTTGGGGGCAGTGAGCACACTTGCCCGGAGTGGTGGGCAGCCCTATCCACAGCACCCGGGGAGCAGTTGGGGGTTAGGTGTCTTGCTCAAGGCACCTCAGTCACGTAATGTCAGCTCAGGGGATCGAACCAGCGACCTTCCGGTCACAAGGCTGGCTCCCTAACCTCCAGACCATGACTGGCCCATATAACCTCTTCAGATGTGGGAGTGCATAATCTGTTACTGATGTGACCGATTCAGATGGGACTTAAGGCCTCACCAGTCTTCTTGCGGAGACGACGTTCGCCTGGCTTCAGCGAACAATATGACGTAACTGCGGAGAAAACGAACAACCGCAGACAACGCGGGGGGGCTGCGTCGCGCACATGGCAGCTTGTCTAACTACGCGGACGAAGATGCTACGCGACAAAGCCTGCGATTGGTCAGTAACAAAAGAGGCGTGCCACGAAACCATGGACGACTTTGAGGAGCTTCGTTTCAGATGAAGTATGTTGAGATCTTTGGCAGAAACACTAATATTTCACTGTTTAACGTGCTTTTGTTAAATAAACAATAAATACCTGCCAAATGTAAGATGTTAAGTGTAATAAGCACCAAAAACATATAGGTTATCTTATATTTAGGTTCACAAATGGATGAGGCTCAAGTTGGAACTTGAATAAAAATGTCACAGCGCCACCTGCTGGAGTGGAGCACCGCAACAGAGAACATAAAACCATAAAAGTATGCAAGCTTGTAAGCTACCCTTGAGAATCTTGTTTTGCAGGATGTTTGCTGAGGCCCTTAAACTACAGAGACACTGATGCAAACAGTCATCTGGCCGTTTTCTGACAGAGCTTTATTATTAGTCTCTGGCTCGTCTCACAGATCTTTCCTCTGTTTGATCTGAGCACTAGCTGAACTTGTTCTACTATCATATCAATTACGGTTAATATAAACTCTTTGTTCCAAACAGTTCTGCTGGAGGTCAATCTGTATTACTCCGCTCTGCTGAACTGTGGAGTTAAACCTGTACTGAATTCATTCAGAGTTTTCACTGTATGGTGCTGTGTGCAGTGAGTGTTCTTACCGAGGCCTTTGGGCGTGATGCCGCTGCTCTCCAGTGGGTTGCTGGCCCAGTAGTAGTATTTGAGTGTGTGCATGAGCTGCAGCACAGTGCCCACCCTGCGGATGGTGGTGTAGATGGTGGCCGTGCCGATGAACTCTGCCGACAAGTAGGTGTACAGAGAGAGCTGAACCTGCGAGAAGCAAACAAACACACAAAATCACTTCATTATACAACCCCATTCCTAAAAAAGTCGGGACGCTGTGCAAAATGTAAATAAAAACAAAATGCAATAATGTGCAAGTCATTTAAACCCTATATTTATTTGAAAACAGTACAAAGACAACATATCAAATGCTAAAACCGAGAAATGTTATTGTTTTTTGAAAAATATATGCCAAACAAACAGACTGATGTAGACATTAGACAGATAGACAGATGGCCATGACAGACAGATAGATACATACACAGAAATATATACAGAAAGGACGTTAGATGAATAGAAAGAAAAAAAGAAGCAAGAAATAAAGCAAGAAAATGTAGAAAAAGAACGAGTGCAGACCCACACAAGCAAAATCATTAGGAAAATGAAGCATGTGGCGAGTTAAAAGTCTTTATTTAGCCATTATCCTTTCCATTTGAAAGAACAGCAACAACAGTATAATCATGCTAGATATTACTCATATACAGTGTTTTCTCCACACTGCTGTAGTAATCTCAGAGGAACACAGACATACATGCACACACACATATGTGCTAATTAGGCCTGTACTTAATGATCCTGCTCTGAACACCAGGCTATCAGTGGAGTTAATCTCACAGCCAGCTGATTGGACCGCGGCTGAGACGTGTTCCTCTAACCTTTCCTCAATTACAGCTGTAAACATACACAGGAGCCTGAGCTGAAACTCTGCACCCGGCTCATGTAGAACGGCAGAGAAATAACTAAAAACATGAATCTAATCTACAGAGACAGGCTGGAGAAGGCTGGCTTCGGCTTTGAGGCGGGTGGAAAAGGGAAGATTATGGGTGGGCGTGTGGGAAAGGTTTCTGAAAACCAGCCTCGGGCGCGTTTCATACACCATCAAAGCTGGCGGGGGAACATTCCGGAAAAGGTCGAGCGAAGACCCTAAGCCTCTTCATCTCTCCGAGCAGGGTAGCGCTTGAAGGAGTGAAATTTGCCTGAGGAAAACAATAACGTGCTCTCTCCATCTCTGATACTGTCGCATCTTTACTCATCTCTCTCTCTCTCCTCTTCCTCTGGACCCCTCTGTTCCCTCGCTCACAAAGGCATACAGTGACTGTGGGGGGTTTGGTCATCCAAGCGAGAGAGAAGAAGTTCAGAAGAAAGCAGAGATGCCGTCCGTGTCCCCCTCAGGCTCTGCTTCTCAGGTCATTATCCAAATACCAACGCTGCTGGCCTTCGCAAACTACTGCACTTTCCCCCCAAAGTTGCTGCATCTGAACCTCAGGCTACGAGACTCCAAACCCCAAATCATATCCATGCTGATGACTGAGCGAATCAAAATGGACAGCAGATAAATACATTTAAAAAAATATTAACGTTGCACGCTCCAAATGTTCTCCAAAGCCCTCAGTACACCCCCCTCAGCACTACTGCTGCTCGGTTTCCTATGTAAATATGGATGTACGGTGTAATGGTGGCACTTCAGCAGTGCTTGAAGTGTGCGCTCCACAGTGGCTGACTAATGATAACTCTGCAAAGCCTGAGAGCGTTTTAAATCAGCGTGGAAAGCAGAGGAGAGGTGCTTCACGAGCAGCACACCTTGATTAGTGGTCATGTTGGTGGTATGGGATCCATGGCTGGGTGATACGGCCAAGAACTTAAGCACAATGTACTTTTCCACGTCACTCAATACCTGAACATTACTGGTCATTATTAGGGGGACATAACTGGAGCTGAACAGAATAACAACAGCTTTTTGCTCTTGAAACATAATTGCCACTCAGCTGCTCACACGTTGCTATGACAGAACCTGCTATCGTCACCTTCATGTTCTAATATAGCGTATCGGCCACCTCAAAACAAAACATCGGGGATCTAAGCTAAGTGTAAATAAATGAAAGCACTTTATTCACCCCAATCAATGTTTCTCAGGAGAGATACATGTGTAGATTAATGTCCAAGAGTCATCTGACGTGATGAGAAAACAGTTTTTTCAATAATAACGTTTTTGTTTACTTTGACGCTAGTACCGCTGGAACGATGGGGGTCCCCCAATATCGGCCACCTCACTTCCGGTTTCTCCGTAACTCATCTTTCAGCCTTAAACAGCGTATAAAATTATAAATAAATAAATAAATAAAATATATGTATATATTCGTTAGTAAAATGTGACATTATTGTATTGTTTCATTATTGAACTTGATTTGCTTGTTTAACCAAGTATGGAGCTCAGCTCTTTGCTGCGTGCCTGATTGTGCCAGTCAAATGAGAAATCGCGTTTACACATCATTCCTACCAGATTCAATGGTTTACAATGAGGTTAAGTTTGTCCTCTTTGGGCACCCTTACTCCATATACCTAACACCACCATGGCGGGAAACGTACCTCAGAGCAGAGAAAGCTAACCGATAAGCTAACTTTCTAAACAGACGAATATCCATCGCAGAATGAAAATGAGTTGTGTTCCATGCGGTTTTGTACACGTAGAATTGCAATGTTACCAGCGATACTTATATATTGTTTTCTGATATGATTTTTTGCTAGAATAAAGTTTAAATGCTCTTGTAAGGTGGGAGCTTACGTGTTGCGAATTACACCTGAGCAATTGGCGGAGAGAGAGAGATGAAATGCGCAGTACGCCAATATTGGGGGACGGCCGATGTTAGAGGTAGCTACACTTGTTTTTTTAAAGGCCTTTTACACAATACTTTAAGAACAAGAGCAAGAGCGAGAAACAAAATGGGACTCATCGGACCAGGCACCCCTCTTCCAACACTCCAAGGTCCAGTTCCAGGCACGCTGACTAATCTGTGGTCCCATACATAGCAGGATGTAAATGTATATAAGCTCCCCAGACAAAAAAATGAGTCACCTTGCAAGTTTAAGGTGGTAGTAATATCAGGCTCCTGCAGATGGCGCTGGACGAAGATGATCAGGCTATAAATACCTGCAGGTGTGTGGCGAGGATTCATAGATTGAGAAGAGGTGGAACAGTGCAGTGAATGACTCGTTTAATGTGTAGAAAATGGGTCGCAAAGCAGAAGTTAATGATTGGCCTAAAGGAGTGACTGCATTTGGTTGTGAAGGAAGTAGCCGAATCTGCAGGTGTATCGAAGCGTACGGTCATACGGGTCGACCAGCAGTGGCAAAATCCCAGTCTACAGGGAACTCCAGCAAAATCCCCAGATTAAAATCCTCCTGAAAATCTGAGGAACTACCTGGAACAACAAGTAAGACGATGCAGGAGTGGCTGAACACTGATGCTGCCTACATCCAGAAACTTGTTCAGTCCAGGCCAAGTCAAATCACAGCTGGTATTCGTGCTCATGGAGGTATTACATGTTATTAGGTACGTTTCAGTCACAGGTGACTAATTGTTTGTCTGGTAAGCTTATATAAGTCAGTATATAATCTCTTATGTGTTGTGACACGTTCCTTCTGTAACCATCATTCACCAGCGGTTTGTCCCACTTCACACCACTGTCAGTAGGCACTCAGCACTGCTGACCAGGAGTGCCCCACAAGCCTTGCTCTTTCAGAGGTATTCTAAACACATACTCTCAAACACGTTGACAAGAACTGACCGTTTGACATGTGCTGTTGTTACAGGACAATCAACATTATTTACGTCATCTCTGAGTAGTCATTATGTTTTGGCTCACTGGCCAATATGATATATATATGAATAAACTGGTTGGAACGTGCAGCTGCTGTTACTCTCACTAGCTGTCGGTATTGAAAACCCGAAACTGCTTTCACTGTATAGACATCACAAGACTTTCAAGCTCAGGTTCAAGTGAAACCTGAACTCACCTGATTAAAATAATGTTACTAAATTTCTGAAAGTGATAAATTCATGCTTCAAAAGTTTGTGTGCACTTTGTTCTTTAGGCAAATCAAACTACTGCAATTAATCGTGGTAACGAGACAATAAAATAATGCAATTAGTCAAGATGAATTACTTTAACTTTTTGAGACACCAGCATCACAAACAGGTGTACCTAAGGTCGTGACTTTGCTGCTAATACTGGATCGAGGAACAGAATGGCATAAAATCTTGTGAATCATTTTAATAAAAAATGTTTTGTTTATGAAATTCTCTTTACTGTTTTATTGCCCATCCCTAGTTCCCACTACTATATTAGAAGATGTGCTGTGGAGCTGACCTTGGCGGGAGTGTGGATCCAGATGGCTGCGTTGAACAGGACGTGGTCACACAGCTGCTTTAGGAGGGGAGCCCCATGCGTGAGCCCGTCCAGATACTTGGCGAAGGACAGGAACTGCTCCAGAACCGCCCTGGTGATGTGTACACGGGACGACTGATAGATAGATAGATAGATAGATAGATAGATAGATAGAGAGAGAGAGAGAGAGAGAGAGAGAGAGAGAGAGAGAGAGAGAGAGAGAGAGTAGATAATGAGTAAATCTCAGTTAAAGTTGACGGTTTTCCCCTGATTTGTTCAGTACAGCAGCATTTGGCTCACCTTCTCCAGGAGGTAGCCAATAACCAGAAAGCCCTTTCCTCCCAGCATCTGCTCCTGCATGGCGACGGAACTCTTCAGCAGCTCCACCAGAAACGCCAGGAGAGTGGCACTGCGCACACACATACTGCGTTAGTATTATACCTGTGCAGTTTCCCCCATTAGCCTTAATGTCAATGAGGCAAGAACTCATGTCTGATGTCTGGAGTTTGCTTGTTTGGTTGTGCTCTGGAGCCACGAGACTAATGAAGCTCAGCGTCACCAATTTGCAGTTTGATCTTTTTTGTCATACAGTGCTTATTTGAGAAGACTTAACTTGACAACACCGGTGCTCCAAATTCTTTTGAGGAATAATAACAGTAAATAAAACATTAAAAAGCTGTTAAACTGAGAAAACTCCCTCAGTTTCTGATACAGGCTGTAATAAGAAACATCAAGTATGTTTAGAAGTATGATGTTTCTCCACAAGTGAGCTATTAGCACACAAGCCGCTTCTGTGTGTGTCATTAAAAGGAAAGAAACAGTCATGAACCAACACCAGAAGGAGCTCAGGACGTGTCTGCAGTCACATTTTTCAAAGTGAGAGGTGAAATATTTTACCATCAAAAGATGCTGAACTACTGAGTTTTATATCACTTAATATGTGATTTTCACTAACATTTTCATTTAATCAGTTAAATCTAAAAAATATATAGCATATAAAGCAGGTCAAAGGTGCAAAAGACTTTGTGTGTCTTTGTAGGGGGCTTTGGGGGGATATAATCAATAATCCTGATGTTTTTGACAACAACATATCATTAGAGAAACTTCTTCCTTTCCAATGGAGATTCTTTAAAAAAACTACTAAGCTTTAAAATGAGCTAAAATCATTGGATCCCTTCACTTAAGATGAGCATTTTAAAGTAGACTATCATGCTCAAAAGACCCCCACTCTACTACCCCACAGGAAGAAATACAGAGCTAACTCCACCCCATCACACAGAGCCAGTGTGGGCTATTTAAGGCTGAGGTTCATTTGGATGAATTCTTTGTTTCTGTCCGATATCCAATCCAGCCTGCTGATATCCCCTCGATACAGATACCGGTTCCAATCGATACCATCATGTTTTCTTTATATTTTGTCCTAATTATATTCAGATATCACCAGGGGTGGAACTGGTCAGGTTTTAGAGGGAATCCTCTAAAATGCCTGTTTCTGGTCTACATTAAAATATACATTAAAAATAATTGTTTTATAATCAACCAGTTAATGATTTATTTAGTGCACTTTCTGCATTATAAAATTCTAAGATATGTGTATATTTTTTTGTTACAAGCTTCACATCAGGGGTCTCTGACTTTTAAAAATCACTTAAATTCTGCAAGTTTCTGCGAGTTTTTGACTGACCGTTGCAAATAAATCTAGGTTTCTATTCAGCCTAAACATTTTCATTACAGACCTTACTGTGATTAATGCTTTGATTAAAGCCCAGAAACTCACCCAGACAAAACAGTTTAATTGCAACTCCAACCTCAGTCCTTAAATATTAATTTTTCTTAAATATAGATTAAAACGTTTCTATGGAGAGTACAAAATGAAGAGGATGAACAGAAGAGTCAAAAAAATGGGAATAAAATCTGGCTCTTTGAATCTTAAACATCACTGTTTATAAACTAAGAGCACCACATATTAAAAAGTATCTTGATATTTAACAGTAATTTATTGAAAATTACTGTTAACTTGCAAAATAACACACAGGAATCCTGAGCTTTTCAACAAGACAGAGACTAAAAAGAGACAAAACCTCAAATGCTTTTCAAAACAATCACATTTCCAACAAAAATAGTAAACTGTGTTTTTCATAATGTGGTCAAAAATGTCCAGTGTCCATTTACTTTTACCTTAGATGAGACAGACAGATATCATGTGTATATTTAGATACCTCGCTAGCTGGTAATGAATGGCTGACACTAATAGGACAGTTAGCACTACCAGCACTACCAGCACTACCACTGCCATTATGTTCCACTCACGTCACATTGGCTAACGTGCTAATTTATCATGGACTTTTTAAACTGAGCTCACTGATGGAAACTTTCAATAAAAAAACACATCAATCACCAAAAATATCAATTACATCAAGTAGGCTAGACATTCAAATTGATGCCGCCAAAACATGAGAAAATGAGAAAGTGAACAACTTTTATTCCAAACACACCACGTGAGTTACCACGGAGAGCGAATGGGCGGCTTCCCATTGGCTGAACAGGCTGGAGGCTGAACTTGAGCCACGTTCAACCAGACATTTTGGCCGACCCACAAATTGCTCCCTACGTCCCATATAGAGTCAGACTTAAAACAACGGCTTCAATGCCAGAATAAGCGTTAATGTTAGATCGGGTGTTGTGTAGCTGAATAAATACGGCTTTTTAATATATAAAAATATGGACATAAAATGGGCCATTACTATTACTGACCTACACAGTGCACTACATAGGGACTAGGACGCCATTCGAGATTCAGCCTTTGTTTCATGCACACACTTTAGAACAGGGTAAAAGAACTATGCACTGTTCCCCTAAGACAGGGGTCGCAAGGCAAATGTTAAAAAGAGCCATTTTGTCAAGTTGCAACAAAAATCTAACCACCTTGGGAGCCACAACAGTTTATGTTCATTTTATTGAAGCAGCATTTCACCATCTTTGCAACTTTTTAGTGTTCATCAGTTTCTCGTTGCAGATTAAACGTATCAGGAAACCAGCTGGAGTGATTATAAACACAAATAAGTCCATTCATCTCTAAATTATCGATGTTCGTCTTAAATCTCTCTCTTTGCCGTTTCGTTAGCTACTAACTAGGCGAGACTGTTGTCTGCGTTGCTATGGTGACCAGCAGTCTGCGCTGGTTCTGATTCTGCTGTGGAGCCACAACAGGGCAGTAAAAGAGCTGCATGTTGCTGACCCCTGGCCTCTGAAATTAGTTACCAAGATTTTTGAAATCTGAGCCAGAACACCTATTTCCACCCCTGGATGCTGCCCAGGCCTATTAGCTACATTAGCATCACAGCTTGTGTGCAAAAGTAAAGAAGCTTCGACATCAAACAGTTCTTGGCTGAACAACTTTATCTGGTGTAAACGAAAAAGTCTGTAAATTAGATTTTTTCCCAAAAGACTCCGTTAACCTCAGAATTCTTGCTACTAATGAAAGCTTTACTGTGTAACAGGGAAAAAACAGTAATTAGGAGCAGCACAGCGTCCATGCAAGGTCACAGTTTACATGCAAACAGAGTGGACAGACAGACAGATACACAGACTCGGTATGTATATAATCTCTTAAAGAGTAACTACACCCCACTACTTTCAGCTCCACCCCTGACTCAACTTTGAAAAATGCTCAAAATTAGGAGGGGCACGCTGGGAGGGGCACTGCAGTGATCTACGGGTTTGGAGGTGGGGCTGAGAGGGAAACCGGTGGGCTGGACTGCTGTGTTTTTAGCGCTAGTGTATGTTAACGACCAGAAAATATGGAGAGTGACCGAACGGCACTTTTGCAGCTGAGAGGTTTTACGAGGTTGACATCTTCGACGAGGGAAGGTGTTTCTGATCAGGCAGTGCATCTTGAGCCTTAACAGTATGAGCCACTGACTCAAACCACCAAAGAGATCCCCCTCAAATTCACGTTCTCCTTCAGAAAGGCTGTACGGACGAAAGGTTGACCAAGACAGTAGCAACGGCCATTTAACGTTAACCTTTCCTGAACCGTTTTGCTTTCCGTAGATCCAGAGTTGCTCGTCGTTGATTTCTGTTCAGTGAGTCGGCCCGAGGGTTCGGTTTATGAAGGGAAACGTGAATCGAATGCAGCACCAGCAGCTTTATGGAGACTCCTTCAGGTAACCTAATCATACGGCGAACATTATCAATAAATTTGCTAATCATAACATCTTCATTACAAAACTAAGCTCAGATTAAAATGAGTCATTTACAGTTGGTACAGACAGCTGGCATCTCGCTGCCTTGTGAGGAGGTGCTGGGGGTGTTCAGCTCAGCGCGTGAGTGTGGTTCTCTCCTCACTCTGGGCTCCTATGCTTTCATATTTATGAGTGCGGCACAAGTAGGGCGTCACCAGGGGGCGGTAACGTTGTTTGAGTGATTTACATAGTGTGACGTGTCATCATACTTCGTTACAAAGACACAACATCCGTGCCTACAGCAGCGTTGAGCCAGAGGGGGCGCTGCAGCGGCAGAACCACGACAAAAAAGATATTTTCACAGATTGGAAAGATGTGATCACATTTCAAGCAAGGCTGGTGTTTATTATTATTACAGAGCAGAGCATCTCAGCCTTGGGGTGGAGTTACTCTTTAAACATGTATCATCATTTGCGCTTTCCACTCCTGAACACAATAAAACCCCTCCTTATGAGAATCTGAATGTACGTCACACAGTGGGCGTGTCTTTAAGAGCAATGTTAGTATGCATAGCACCACGTTCTGCACTGTTTGTCACTTCAGCTTTGACGGAATCTATTTCACAGTGTCGTGAGCCTGTGAAGCAACTGATACTCAGCAGTAATCAATATGGACATGGACCCGCTCTGAATCACTCGCAGCAGTGCGCTGATGCAGTTGAGGTTCTGCAGACTGAATGATGCGCTTTATAGAATGAAAATCCTCAGCATGTTTCTCTCTCTCTCTCCATTTTCACTCTAATTGTCACTCTATCAGTTCACCGTGCAGCTCAGAGCAGAGGGATGGGGGCAATAAACTCGCACGTCTTTGTTTGTCTGCAGTTCTTTTCGTCTGCATCGGCAAACGGATCCCCAGAGGCCGAACGCTACAACTGATAGATGCGCTGCAGATCTGGATTCTACTGGTGACGCCTGCTAGCTTACTACAGCTCGTCTTCGGCTGATTATGCCTGGAAGCTGAGGGACTACAGCTGCGCGATGGCGAGACGAGGCTGCGTTTGATCAGACCCTTCTTCCGAGACTGTGCGTGACTGCGAGAGTGTGTTAGTGTAGAACTGTAGCTTCGTAACGCGTGTGCTTCAGATTCATTCTTCTAATCATCTCCGTAAAACTGAGGCTCAAATCTTCCTCTTTTTTCCTCCAGCACCAAACTGTACACTGAACAC